GGTTTTGTCGGTCAACATGATCAGCCTTCCTCTGGGTGATTTCCGGCATCTCTCTCACATCGGTGCAGATGGACACACGGACAGTTTTGGAGACCTGTCGTTCCTGAAGGAGGGCCACAGTCTTCTGCTGCAGAGCTCCAAGAGCGAGCAGAACCTGTTCCTCCCGCCGCCGCCCAAGCCGCCTCGAGTCAACCTGGACGAAGCGGGCCGGTGCAGCCCGGTCTGGGAGCACACCCCGGCCCATCAGAGGCAGAAGTGCAGCTCGATTCCCCTCCTGGACACGGAGGAAGACGAGGACACGTGTTCACACACAGAGACGACCGGCATCAGCTGGAGTCCTGCACGCGGCAGCTTGAGCTCCGGACGGGATTCGACCCAAACCAACCCAGAGGAAACACAGCCGGACCAAACAGACACAGCGTTCACGTTCAGTCTGGATCTGGGACCCTCCATACTGGACTCCGTGATGCAGGTGATGGATAAAGTCCATCAATAGAGTCGTGAACTGGAAATAGGGCTGTGCGATATAGCCAAAAAATCATATCTCTGTGTATTTTGGCTGAATTGCGATATGCGGTATACCAGACGAGGAGGCTATCGAACCGAAAGGAGGTTTTGTCGGTCAACATGATCAGCCTTCCTCTGGGTGATTTCCGGCATCTCTCTCACATCGGTGCAGATGGACACACGGACAGTTTTGGAGACCTGTCGTTCCTGAAGGAGGGCCACAGTCTTCTGCTGCAGAGCTCCAAGAGCGAGCAGAACCTGTTCCTCCCGCCGCCGCCCAAGCCGCCTCGAGTCAACCTGGACGAAGCGGGCCGGTGCAGCCCGGTCTGGGAGCACACCCCGGCCCATCAGAGGCAGAAGTGCAGCTCGATTCCCCTCCTGGACACGGAGGAAGACGAGGACACGTGTTCACACACAGAGACGACCGGCATCAGCTGGAGTCCTGCACGCGGCAGCTTGAGCTCCGGACGGGATTCGACCCAAACCAACCCAGAGGAAACACAGCCGGACCAAACAGACACAGCGTTCACGTTCAGTCTGGATCTGGGACCCACCATACTGGACTCCGTGCTGCAGGTGATGGATAAAGTCCATCAATAGAGTCGTGAACTGGAAATAGGGCTGTGCGATATAGCCAAAAAATCATATCTCGTTGTTTTTTGGCTGAATTGCGATATGCGGTATACCAGACATAGTAAGATTGTTAATGTCTTTTAAAGAAGTCTCTTCTGCTCACCAAGCTTAAATTTATTTGATCCGAAATACAGCAAGAGCAGTAATATTCTGAAATATTTTTACTATTTAAAATAACTGTTTTCTAAGTGAATAACTGTTAAACTGTAATTTATTTCTGTGATCAAAGCTGAATTTTCAGCATCATTACTCCAGTCTTCAGTGTCACATGATCTTCAGAAATCATTCTGATTTGCTGCTCAAAAACATTTATTATTATTATTATTATTATCAATATTTAAAACAGTTGAGTACATTTTTTCAGGATTCTTTGATGAATAGAAAGCTCAAAAGAACAGCATTTATATGAAATTGAAATCTTTTGTAACATAAATGAATCGAGATCAATGTAATGCATCCTTGCTGCATAAAATCAGTCATTTAAAAAGTATTCC